ACAATATTGTTACTAAGGCCAACAGGAAACTGTTTATGCTCCGAAATCTTAAGAAATTTGGACTTGATAAACAAGAACTTAGAGCAGTTTATACAGGGTATATCAGACCAATATTAGAATATGCTGATGTTGTGTGGCACCCTGGCCTCAATCAAGATTTAAGTAACACTATTGAAGTGATACAGAAAAGGGCATGCCATATACTGTAATCTTAGGCAAATATTTCAATTCTTATGAACATGCCTTGGGCATATGTGAACTTGAACTGCTCTCGGAAAGGAGGGTGGCACACTGTCTCAAATTCGCCAAGGGTCTCACTTTAACCTCACATTCTTCTGATCTGGTACCACACACTCGTTACCGCAGCTACAATAAAAATCTCTGCAATGGTAACAAAATCACGCAATTTTCCATTAAAACAAATAGATTTTTCAATAGTCCAATCCCGTACTATATCCGATTACTCAATAATTCATAAACAGCAATGTTACCCTTGATGATTTGAGTGTGCCACCTTCCTTCCCGATTGGTGCTACAAATTTTTGGTCCAAATAATAATAATATTAATAATAATAATAATTATAATTATAAAATAATAATTTTTTTTTCTATATATATATATTTATTTTTATTTTTTTATATGTATTTCTTGTATCTTTTTTTAATATTTTAATGTTTTTGCCGCTTTCTTGCCATAACTTTTGTAATATTACAGCAATTTGGCCCATTGGGCCACCATTTGTAATACTTCTGAGTGTTTTATCAATAAAGTGAAGTGAAAAAAAAGATGTTTTTAGTTGTAAGAAGCCCTTGGGCTTTAGGGGAGCATATGTTAAGGCTTCATTCATTATTAAATATAGTATTTGAATTGTTGTTAGTGGTGCCAAAGACAAGTGATTGAACCCCTGATTCTAAGACAGGAGAGTTAGCACCTTTAAATGCATTTCCCTTGCAGTAATTTAATCTATATACACCACACCATACACTGTGCTCATCACAAATTAAGTGTCACTATGTCCACTTACTGTAGTTTACCAGGTATTGGACTCACAATCTAAGGCAACCATATTTCTTAACACTGGGTTTATTTAAAAGGTTATCTCTGATAATGAGTCCCTCTCTGGTTATCATTGGATTTTTATGGCAATTCTTACTATTATTTGCAATTTTCTTTTCTTTCTTTTTTTTTTTTTTGAATTGAATATAATATGAATTTATATGGTGCCTTTCACATTCCGGAGAATATACAAAGGTGCTGGCATCAGTATTCCCTACACACACAACCACATAAGTTCAATGCCACACCATCCTACCGGGTACCCATTTATACTCCTGGGTGGAAAGAGGCAAAACAAAAGGACACAAGCAATGCGATGGGCGTCATCTCGAACTCCCAATCTCACGATCATAAGTCCAACATGCTGCGCCACACAATCCTACAAAATTTGTTTTGGTAAAGCAATTAATGTATATTCATATTGCTAAGGATAACAGTATCTGTCTATTTACAAGCAGCAATTGTATAAATGTGTATATAGGCTATAGGCAATATTTAGACATATTGATTTCAGGGTCATGTAATGTCATACAAGGGTCAATTGCAGATAAAATTCTTAGCAAGATTTCCTTAAGTTTGACACTGTATTACCCAATATTTAGTTGGTTATTAAGAAATTTAAATCTGCTTCAGCTTATAGTCAATCTTTTTTTCATTAGCATTTCCAGCCACCTAAAATCATGTTTTCACACCTACTGTGGTGAAGGTCTTAAAAGGTAACAAAAAAAAATGTACGAAGCTTGAAACTCTGATCAAGAGACCAATCAACGAAAGTTAAAGCAGATTTGATATACAACAAAAACAATCACAACTATTTAATAAAATATAATAATCATATAAATGATTATTATTATTACTATATAATAATTTTATTTATGTTACTATTATTGTTACTATTTATTTTTCTCAATTACTATCATTATAACTATTCAAAAATATAGGCCTACCTGTATATTGCACAACTTATATTCAAATGAATCTCCAACACATTTCTTGCCGCCATGTTGAGCCCTGATTATGATAAAAGAAAATATATAACAAATACAATGATACATAAACATCTGGAGGAAACTGGAAACAATTTCTTTCACAAATATATTTTTCCCTGTGTTTCAAAACAATGGGTTTTGTACTAGTACTACATCAAACAATATGACAGCAAATTACAATTGCAATTGCAATTTGTGATAGATAAAACAAGATTAATAATTTGATTAGAAAGTGCACAAATAATAAATAATAAATATCTATATGAAAAAAACTTACTATAATATTATGTCGACAGAATAATGAGTCTTAACAGAATTGGCATGTAGGCCTATTTACAAAAGACACATGAAGGATGCTCGAACAAAAATAATATAGACATATATTAGAGAGTAAAGATATAATAGAGAGCAAAGATAAATGAATAGAGTATATTAAAAAAAAAGAAAAACTAGTGGATAAAATGGAAAATAATAGTTCAATAAATAGGCTTACATAGTATCAAAGGGTACAGAATGGCATCAGGTCCTACTCCCCTGATTTTGCATGTAAGCAATGAAATGAAAAAAGGAGTACTACAACGAGATGGGAGGGGCGCCCTATTATACCTTGAATAGAGTGTGAAATTTGAACAGGCATTCTCTACATGCAGCATGACGTTTACATGTATATTATCTCATTTGAAGGACGCCAATGGTAGAACTTTTCGAGATAAGATTCCATTCCAAGAAAAACCCAGCAGTCAGACGGACCTCGTCTTGCCATTCTTTCTCTGACAACATAAAACTTTCCAAAATCTTTATACCGAAGAAAACTATTTTTTTTTTCAAGATGAACTGATGATAGCCAGGGAATCTTACCTAGGACTGTCACAGTAACGTCGTCGCTTGCTAACACCTATCCCACAAATCCTAGAGCAAACCGTCCATGCAGTCCACTTACTCCAGCCACCATCTTGGTAATTGATATGAATACATGATCCATTCATACACCACTACATAAAAATATGCATTAATTAATTTATATATTTGATGCTATTTTAAAATAATAAAAAAAAATGAGTAAAATAATTGTGATAATTAATTATAATGTTGTTCTATTATACATGATGTTTAAAAAATGATTATTAGTGAATATCAATAAAGGATTATAACAATAAAAACAATTATATTATACAAGTAATTCAGGGATGTAGTTGTGGTGGGCAGGGACACCCAGCCTTCAAGTTTTCCACCCAGCCTAAATTTCATGTCCCTCCACCCACCCTTATTAACCTACTTTTCCATCCTTAAAATCCACTCTTATTATTTAGATTTTACCAATGTTATCACATACCCACCCTTAAAATGTCTGTCACCCACTCTTAGTTTTCTACAGCTACAACCCTGGTAATTAACGTGTTCAAATACCCTCAACATATCTCAATGCAATAATATCATTGGATATCTGTACACCTGTTAGTTCAATATGTCATAAATTTTTATTTTTCATATTTTATTGTCTCCATTGTTTTTGTGTATTTTTAAACTTGCTTAAGTGTTTGTGCTTTTCTATTTTATATTGAATTGTGAATTTTAAATGAAATGAAAATAAAACTGAACTTATCAGTATTAGATTGTAATTACATCATGTAAAGCAGATAATTATTATATCTTAAAATAATTCTATTTTATGAATGAAAAAAATCAGAAGCTTTATAGGAGCGGGTGCAGTGGTTGCGGATCTGGTTATCAGACTTGAGGTCAGAGGTTCTATGCCTTGGAGTGCATTTTGCTTGTGTCCTCCACATATGAGTGGGTATTTGGTAGGTTCAAACACAAAATACGCTGATTACAGCTGCAACATTATGGAATTCTCCCCAAGGAGCTATTTATGTTTTCCATATGTGCTTGATCCAATGATAATGTGTCATGCTTAGAGGCCTTGTTGGCATGAGGCACTATAGAAGTCAACATGATATTTTTGTTATCATTATAAACTAAGCCTTATTACAATGCTTAGGGAGCTAGTAGAGACACAGGATTTTAACCCATGCCCCTAGGTTTAGAAGGCAAGCACCTTAACCACCAAGCTACATCTCCACTACAATTCCTTTATCCTGTAATATTCAACATAACAAAAATATTTAAAAAAAAGTTATTTTGAAAGTTATTTTTATAACAAGTCAGATTGGGCAAAAACATCACTGCTATAAAATTAAAGTTCTTATGAACATGCTCTAGCTTTCAGTGCTGTCAATGATTATTGGCATGTGTCACTTGCACAACAAAACACTATTTAACCTTCAATTTATGTTTTTATATTCAGCATGAAATAAATAAGGTAAAATGTGACATTTTATTGCAAAAGTACAGTTGGACAAGGTATGGCAACAGCTGAGGTAAAGAAACTAGTGTGTAATAAACCAATCACTGTCTGACTACTGTGCAATTGATAAACCCAAGGGAGGAGGCATTTCTGTCAGTTGGAAGGGCTCGACCTATAAACACTGAATCATCTTCTTAACCCAGAGAACTATTATTCTGAACTGCGATGTATATTGGTCAGAAGTCACGCCCGAAAACAGATTAAACAGTCGCAAATTTAACAAACAGAATATGATTGCTATTTTTGATGAGTGGGATTTTAAAACTACTGTATGTCATGGATTTCAAAATTTGAGTTCTTGCCATCTACTTTGCTGCCTGACTTGCTGCCAGGACTTGCTGCAAATTCCCTGGCATTTAGTTTTTTCTCAACTATAATTGACCATCCTTATGTGATCCCAAATTAGCAAATGTCTCAGATTCTTTATTATTCTAATTAGAGACCAAAGCTGCTAAAGAAAATGAAAACCCTGGTCCCAAAAGTGGTTTTTAATTGGAGGGAGACCTATATTTTCAATAATTGAGAAAAAAATTTTTCTATATTTGTTGAATTTATAATATTGTATGAAAGTGAAATAATAATCATAAAAAAAAAATATTTAAGAAATTTTATACAAAATTATGTGAAATGATTACTTACATGATCTGTCTTACAAAAAGTTCCAGGCAGAGGGGGCTTTGCTCTGCGCACAGGTAGGCAGGAGGGGAACATGTAATCAGCACCACATCGAAGATGCTCACAATCTATCTCTTTGCTTTCCTGCAGGGAAAGAATCATTACGTACAGCTATTCAGTTATCGCCATAAATGATAGTATGCATTTGGTGAATAAATACACTATAAGCTTAAAATTTCAATGTTATCACATTCATATATCATGAACAAAAATATATATAATAAATATCAGCTGCAATAATATTAATTTTTTATAATAATAATAATAATAATACAATTAAATTGATTTTTTGTGATAAACTTGATGTACATCACATCAGACATGAATTTAAACTATTTGTTTTTCTCTAGATCATGCAGGTTTTATTTATTTACTTTGAGAACACACGCCTTTGGAATGGTGGCACACACAAGAGTGGTGCGTTCAGCTTAAATTACAAAAATATAAAAATTAACTAAAGATGGAGCACAGTCTATTGACAATTTTGCTCACACACCACAGGTATCACAGATGATGGCTGCCAGTGTTTATTATTTCAAAAACTTTTTTGATCTTAGCACAACTCAAAATATGTAAACAAAGTAGTGGGTAAGGAAGTTCGTGCCATATTCTTGTTTTCAATCCGCTGTGAAAATAACATAATGTTGCCTGATATTTCTGTCTGATTTAAGATATTGAAATATATGTCACTTACAAAACAATGTTTGTAAACCTCGCCGTGGTTGAAATAGCATTGCTGATCGCGGCTGTACAGCTCCCCGGGCAGCATTGAAGATGATTTTTTGTCTGGAACTTCAAATGGGTTGTCGAGCAGACAGAACTTCGATCTTGATAATATACGGAAATGAAGGAAATTAAATTGTCTTCTATCATGTCATGATATTTCCAGAAAATAATTGCAAAAATTGTTGTTTCTCTACCTTCAAATATCATAGTACAATAAATCAATTGAACTGTTGGAGATCTTGTCATTCAAACATGTTATGTCTGAGATCTTCATATATTTTTAGTCATAAAAAAATTACACTGTCTAAATTTCTGACTGATACAGAATTTAACTGAGGCAAATAGAATTATAACAAAAAACACCTACTGTATAACAATAATGGGAAAAATTTACTTGTCGTAATAGTTTGTGAAACTTTAACAGAATTTTTTTGATTGTTTTATTTCTTATAAATGTCTTCTTTTTTTTAAATTTAATTTCAATATAGAAATATATTTACTTGTCTACGGTATTAGTTGGAAAATTAGTAGCCTGTTAAATTTTCTGGGTTTTTAAAAAAATAATATCTAATAAATGTAATTTCCTATTATTGATTATATACATGTTATGCTAGAATGAAATGTATGTATCTCAATATTTGCAGTCAATGGATGTCAAACCTACTCTATGCTGAATTTTGTTATCATCCCTGTGGAGCAATTTTAAATGAAATATACAAGCATGACCCATGCATCTACACATACAGTACATCCAAAATGTTGAATTTGAATTCCAAGGAGGGTGACATTCAAATCTTAAAATCACATCATGATAATATATTTTTTATAAACTATAATCTGCACTTTAGTACACAAACATCCTTATCAATCCTTAAACATATTTCTTTTTCAGGATACAAGATTGCAATAATCTTAGAAATTTTCCTTCCAGTTAATTAAAATGATGATTGATAAATTATAAGTTGAAAGATTTATGTACACAATTGGGAATATGCGAATATCAGTGGCCTATCTGAAAGGGCTTGAAGACACTTCCCTGGTTACTATATAGTCATGAAGCTCCCATGCATCATGCAACTACACACATGAAAATGCACATTAAAGGTGTTTGATGAGGCCTACTTGATATGCTGTATATATTTTTTTAAGTGGTCTTTTTTTTTTTGAATCACCAATTCAATGAGATCACTCCATCATTGTACAGTAGTTTAAATTAAATAAATAGATTAATTAATAATTTCCTACTCTATGTTATCCTTGAATGCCCTCTGACTACACTTTGACCAATAGTATCCGCTGTGAGCCTTCACCAGGGACGACATGACACTTGACCTCTCAGCATCCTTCTCACAATCCTTTATATCGTTGTCGTGTACCATTCCCAACCTGGTATAAATAATTCTTAGGTATTAGTGATTGGTGTAGAATACACAATACTCAAAACTCAATAAACTTTATTTGTCATATATACATGTACAATATATACACATGCAATGAAATTTGATTTGATTCCTTATAAAACAAATGAAAAACCAACATAAAATATGGAAATTTCAAACTAGTGTCTTGTTCAATGCCCAACTACACACAATATGACAGGCCTACAATGTTCCAATAAACTGACAAACTAAAACAAGTACTCTCTGCCAAAACCATCCTCAAAACTTCAAAGAAACCTTGAATTGATCATTTAAAAGGATCAAAAGAGTTAAACCAACCACAAATGGAAAAGAAAATTGATTTTTTTTTTGGCCAATTTACATGCAGTTTGCTGCTAAAATCCTTCAGTTGATTACCAGTCAGTCTAAAGTATGCAAAGGAGTACGGGAAAGGTATTATCTACCCATCTGATTAATTCTTCAGAGAAATTATTTTCTCATTCAAATTATTTTTTTTTTCAAATTAATTAATTAAAAATTAAGCAATTCAAATTATAAGGAATTGAAATTTTTTCAAATTCTTTGGTGCATGACAGACATTGCATCTAAAAGTTCCATTCAACTGGGTAGCAAAATTACTTTAAAAGAGAACTAGCAAAATGATCTTTCGTTTTAGAGGAGATTTTAGATATGCCATTAATTATAGAATCAATCTTAAAATCGTTATTTGCAATTGTTTATGATTCTATAGGCCATTATATACGATTTTACTGTGACGTCACTGGCGAAAAAAGTAACAAAAGATTGTGTATATAGCGCCGCGTAGGGTATCCACCGCGTACGATCTTTGCGTGCATGCTGTAACCATGGTTGTTGTAACTTGCATATCAGGTCATAGGCCTATAACTGCATCAGCCGTTGTCAACAAATGAGTTACAGCCATGGTTACAGCATGCACGCAAAGAT